ATATATGTTGTGTTTTGAAATATTCTTAAAACAAAAATCGTATCTTTTTTTGAGAATGAGTCATCTGGGGTTACTATAAGTTGTTTTCATATTTCTCTGCTTGTGCAACAAAAACAAAGGATAAAACTTTTCTTTTGTCATTGATGAATAAACTTTAATTTGTATTCGATTTTCTATCAGATATTTTAATCTACATTATCACTTCAAGTTTTGGTGAATTTTTTTGTTTGACTACATTTACTTCATATTCTTACAGTGTATATCAGTACGAGCAAGTTACATGACTTCATTTATGCATGCATCACAGAATACAGTCAATGCATGAAATTGTTGTATTTTTTTCAAAAGTGACAATTGGCCCATAAAGAAAATATTCTAACTAGATGGTAGTAAAATAAATAAATACTTCACAAAGTCCATTAGTGAAAGCTGAAATGTTCTATTTATTTTTTATGATGAATGCGTAAATCAACAAAAAGAAAATGACAATGTGTAACTGCGCATGCGCCTTTTCAGCAGTTTTATTTTATTCTTTCGATTCAGGCAGTTTTCGTAATAGTGCTTTTATTCTTTCATCCAATCATTCAAATGTAAACCAACAACGTGATGCCACTCGATCATGTTTTTATATATTTCATTATTGATTTGTTTTATTGTCGGAGAAAAATCCTTATAATTACAAATGCGCTGAAGCAAAATTTTCGTTGCAGTATTCTTTTTTAAATTATCCTTTGTATAACATATTGTGTTTAAATTAAATCTAATGAAAATGTGTTTTTTCAAAATTTTTAGCTATTCGATGGTTGGGTGAGAATTGATAATAAAAAAAAAAGAATTTCAAGGACGAAATATATTCTCTAAAATAAATTTTTTTAACTATGTAACAAGTGATGGAATCAATTTTACTGAGAAACAATGTCCATCAAAAATAATCAAGATTATAAATTTTATATTAAATACGTATGCTTATTGGCAAAGCAAAAAACTGTTGATCAAAATAGTATATTGTCACAGATTTTAATGTGATTTAAATGTTTAAGATACTCTTACTTCATCTTTTGACCACAAGCAAAATTTAACGAGATAAAAGAATTCATTCTTCACTTTGCATTATTTTATTGATTTCTTCGCCTGCTGAAACGCTTCTTAAAAGTTCAGCCGAAACCAATGGTTTTCTTCTTAGAATAACAAATTTTTAATTCTACTTAGATTTTTTTAATTATTAACAAAACTCAAGTAAATATATACGAGACTGTTGTGGTACAAACACAATCGAATGTGAAAGCAGTATTTTGAGTCGAAAAGTCTCAAAATTTTACATGCAACACTCACTAAACTTCCTCTTATTTCCAACTTTATAGAAAAAAATAGCAAGCCTTCCTGAGAAATATTCAACACATGACTAAATCTGAAATAAAATCTCACTTTACTCATAACATTTTCTTTTCTTCAATTTCAGACTTGTACGTCCTTTTCTCTACGCCCGACTCCGTTACATATGTCATACTTGAAACTTCAATTCAATTATTCAAGAAGTAAAAAAAAAACTTGCCTACGTGATTAATCTCTTACATCTATGTCGAGATTTCGAAGTACGTATCATTCTCTGAACAGACATGAGACATACTCGTCTCTTTGTACACAGTAAAATCTATCTCTATTTTATGTTTTGGAACTACTGAAAAGAACGTAAATCTAAACGAACCAGAAGCGTTTGCACATTTTTTTACCATTTCCGATCAAAACAATAAAGTGAATAAACTCTGTTCTCCAACATTTTTCAGCCCCAAACGATGCTTTTCCAGCAATTTTCCGACGCATTTTATGCAAAATCATTTTTTTCCAGAAGTCAAAATTATTGACTTAACTAATGGTGCCATTTTTCAAGTTTGATTATCTCGATAAGAAATCATTAGTTTGTACCAAAAAAATTTAGAATATTCTAATGAAATTTGAAACTTATCTATAGAGAACACCATCATGTCAACAATACATGCATAGACTAATGATACTGACGTCTAATTACGTGGATTTCGATCAGAAAAGTCCAAAAGATAATAGAAGCTGGAAAGCAAGAATGATATGATTGTATCTGATGATCAACTCTACTCTATTATAGTTGTCTCCGGTTGGAATCAGGAAAATCCCACTACTGAATTCAGACATCACATTCTTGCTCGTAAGTTCGTACTATTTTCTGAAGTTTTCCTACTGAACATGACCGTATACCATGTACTTGAGTAATTCGAGTTTCTCCGAAGTACTTTATAGTACATCCCATTTCGGATCTTGATTTTTTTAAAGATTATCGTTCATATTGCTTGAGACTTGTGTAGAATGTATAATTCATCGAATCAAAATAATGGAAACAAGTACACCACACCCACACCCTCGCTAAATGCTAAACTTTACTTGAAAAGAAAATGCTCTGTATATATTATTTATTTTAATTATAATCGATATGTCAATACTATGTCTTATATCGGATCGAAATTGAAAAGAAGTCACTTTTCGATGAACATAAATCATTTTCTGTCCAAATTTTGTCTCAACATTGATTGAATATTACCATAAATCATATACAAGTCTTCAAATATATAATAAAACAGAAGTTCTATCAATAATCAAATATTTATTCGCTAACTTTTTTTTGAAAAATAACTTGTAATTAATTCAATTTTAGTTATTTACAAAAAATAAAACATCTTGTAGAATGCTATCATATATGTCAAATATATGATATATGAGTAGACATCTAGTCATCTTCACCGAACTCGATTCCATGGGAAAAAAATATGACAAAGAATATTGATAATAAGAGTAATGACTTTTTTTTCAACCTATAATAAGTACTCTAAACAAGAATACCACGTTAATATTACTACTATTCTCTCCCTCTTATTCATATCCATGTTCTTGAATGTCATAAACATATATATATATATCTGCAAATTTATTGATGAGTAACAAGTACTTCAGAACGTAAGTAAGATCAAAAAGTAACAAACTATATGAATTATTTTTTCTCTATATTAATTATTTACGAGTTCGAACTCTTATGATTACTACATTGAGAAGCACTAATGAATAAGCTAATGGATAAAAATATGTGAGATGAAAACTTTTTCGGTTTTCATCATACTATTCTTAATAAGTTGTGTGCCCCATGTTCATGTCACCTTTCCAAGGTATCATATCTAAAAAGAATAATTAACGTGTTCTTCTATAGCAATAACAGTTACTGCTACACAGTTTATTACAAAAGAGTTATTTTATGGCTAATACATCTGTAACAATCAGTAAAACGTGATAGAATATACTTTTCCTATGATATCTATTTATTGCAGATAACGTTTCTAAATGTTATTTGTTTCACCTGGAATCAAGATATCAATGGAAGAGCAATAGCAGTGAGTACAATAAGGGATTTAAATCTGCTATGTATATAAAGTTCAAATCTTCTACAAGATGATCTATATTTTCCAAATCATAACGATTATGGTTCATATAAGAGTCAATAATTTCATTTTAATAAAATCTTCTCGGATTTAAATCGTAAGTCGTTTAGTTCTTCAATAACAAATATATCAGTTTATTATGATTTTGATTTTCTTATAGACTCGTGTTCTGTAGATTGTAAGCCACTAGTGGACAACTAATGACAAGGTGTATAAACTTTGTTTAGGATGTTTTTATTAAAAATAATAGATGTCTTGAAGTTTTTTTTTCATATTTTTCCAATCAATATTTCATATGACGTATTATTTGAGTATAGACCATGAATTTTTGAATGACTAAATTACAATTAATCTAGCAAATGTTCGAATGAACAATGAAATAGCTCAAAGACACATCATAAGACATGCTTCTAAGTCATATTTTATTTTTTTCTTCATACTAATAATTTAAAAGACGTTCATCATTCTTCAACAAAAAAAAATCTCATTCTATTGCGTAGAAATAATAAAAATCTGATCTTATTCAAATTGAATTTCATATGCCATAAAACTAGTTTACAAACTAAGACGACCAAAAAATATGTATGCTAACTGAAAAAAAAAAGGAATCCTTTATTCGATTATGTTCTCTATAGAGATATAACTAAACCATATTTAACCCTAGACATGTAAGGTTTTTTTATTTTTTATTGCCGTCGGACAAAGGGAAATTAAAAACATCTTTTATAACATTCCATACCTCAATAGGTGATAAAATACTGTTTTGGACAACAGACATTTCTAGCCACAATCCATCACTAACTATGAAAAATCTGTTCTAGCTTAAAAAATGACTAACTCTGACTATCTGCCATTATAAATATTAACAAATTTTAAAGACTTGAAAAAACCAAACGCATATAATATTAAACAGTCTGTATATGTTGAAAATGTAATATAACATGCAATATAAAATGACATTGTCAATTATGTAGTTGACATTTTCAAATCAGTTAGAAGAATAAAACATAGTGAAACATCAATTAATCTGGATGAAACTCATAACAATGAATACTACCTATGAGTTCTCTATTTGCTGAAATTGTCAGGTTACACTGTCTCACAAATTTTAATTCAATTAGAACCCACTGATGTTATCGTCTACTGTTTGACAATTCTTTAATTTATATTTGATATGCTAGTGTTAGAAAAGTTTGTCATCAAGTACCTATATAAACAAATGTACCGAAATGATTTTCCTGTTTAGCAATAGGCATAGCTTTTATTAGTTTTTTTTTTATGAGATAAACAACAGCGAAATGAAAGAAGATCTAATTTACCAAACAAATACAATTCTCGGAAGAAATCAAATCAATTTAATTTTATTATCAAAAACTTCAAAAACTAGAAGTGAATCAATTCGACATTTTATATACTTGTTTTTATTTCCACTTCAATAAAAATACAGTAGATTATTCTTAATAAACATTTATTTGCTGAACTCACAACAACAAAAACAAATAAAAAACTTCAAAAAGTTTATTGTTAATCTAATTAATTCATTTAAAAAAATCTATGATATATTTTTTCTATGTAATGTTTTAATGCATTGCGAAAAACTGTTCCTCCACTTAATGTATAAATATAAAATGGCATTCCATGTGCAAAATATGTCATTAAAAGAAATAAATTAAATATAAAATTTTCAATCGCTATTCTTAATTGTGTTTTACCATCATTTGATAATAATGTTGAATACAATTTTTGTATAGCTTGTGGAAGAGTACATAAACTAAGAAGAATAATTTGTATAAAAAGCATAAAAAAAAGTCTAGAATCTAATTTTTTCTTTGATGATTGTGTTGGTTGTTCTAGAATTGAAGTATTTCCCATAGGTTTTAATTCAATAATACTTGTTCCATAAATACGATTTTTAACTTTATTAATATTATGAATTGTCATTAATCCAAATATTAACATAAATATCATAGGAAATAATATTGTTAAACATGCATATGATAAATCATTTAATAAACGACAAGGAATTGTTTGGCTGTAACATTTAAGTGGAGCATTAATTAAATTTGCTTCATGACAATAAAATACTGGACTATAAAGAATAATTGAAAAAATAATTGTAATCATAATTCCACGATAAGCATTTTTTAATGTACTCAATTCTCGACGACGAACATTACGAGATGATATAAGCCATCGATCAATAGCAGCTAACATAATTAACCATGAAGCAATATTTCTTGAAACAAATAAAGCAAAAGCACGTAATTTACATAACAAACTAATTGTATTTGTTAAATCTAATGTCCAACCTGATAACATTCGTGTTGTTAAACCAGATACTATAGCAATAAGATTAGCTATGGATGAAATAAGAAAAAATAATGAACATGAATTAGTACGAAGTGATCGTTGTGATAGAACAAGTATATTAAGAATATTTCCAATTGTACCAAAAAGAAATATAAATATTGAAAAATAACGATTGACTGCAGCTGAAGTATTATTCCATGCAGCGATTGTATATGTATCCGATGAGGACATTTTCTTTTTATTTAGCAAGAAAACAATGAATACGAATGAAAATGAATCCTTTCTTATTTTTCCAAAGATTATCTGAAAATGACATATAACTTATATAAGAGATTAATTATAGCTCATGTCAATAAATAGCTAAGAAAAAATTTACATATATCAAAATAGGAATCAAGGTCTTATCCATCTTCTATCTGCCGAAAGGAATGAAATCTACGTAGTTGCTAAGTGCAAGTGAATACTATCCTATCGAATGATTACGAACGTTGATAAGTCCTCGATATTCTCAATGAATATAACATAAATGAAAATAGTTAATTGAATTTTATACATGGTTTTTTTTCTTTATGAAAACTAGTTTTTTGAGTACGCTTCATATTTATTATTTCGTATTTTAATTTACCTAAGAAATAAACAATATTTCGATGAATTGTAAAATAGATATATTCTTAATGTTTATATTGAAGAAAAAAATTCTGTATTGTCAATATATTTTTACCATATGACGAAAGAAACTGAGACAGAAAAAAATCTTTTATCAACAAAGAAATTCTAATCTAAGAGTTTATAATAGAATGAAACTATGTAAAAAAATAAAAGCTTGTTAGTGCAGCCCTAAAGAAGCTGAAGTGTGAAATTCATGTATATTCTTCAGCTTCATTATACTAATATGAAATATAGATAGTATAAAATCATGAGTTTTTTTAATTTTCTGACAGGTGTCCTTATTTTTCGTTTTCTTTGTTGTTATTCGCTCAGTATTTTTCATTTTTAACACTTCTTTTTTCTTTAATTTTACATTTTTATTATAACAAGCATTGAATTATATGGTGAATGAAACTGTTATATATATATGTATATGTATATCCATTATTTTAAACCTGGTCGCTAAGGTCTGTAATGGGAGCCTCTCTGTAAGGGGTGGGGGGGGGAAGGGAGAGCCGCAAAACCTTGACCTTAAAACTTACACTCACTATTTTCTTCGAAAATATACATGAGTTCCATAAAATCTTCATTCCACGAACAATTTTTCTCGTTAGTTATCAACATTATTATTTTTAACACATCGCATGGAAATTTATTTGATTCATGAATCTAAAATAGTGACGCATTATATAACATCGTATGGTTAGCAGACTATTTTCTTGACGATATATGTGTAAGAAACATCATTTTCATTTTGAGTACTAATATAAACATTATTAATTTCAAAATAATATTGTATTATGGTAATAAATAAAAAGCAAAAAAGTAACTCTTTGAAAATGAGAATGAAACAACACTAAGAAGAGAAAAGCTGTCATCCTTTGAATGGAAGCAAAAAAAAGCCTGTAGATCGATGAACTTATCACCAGGTCAATAATACTATTCGAGGATATAGAATGCAGCTCAATATTTCGCAGATTAGAGAATTTTAGAAAGACAGTTATTCTTTCTTCTACCAACTACATAACTATAAAGGAAAATAAATATGCGCTTCGATTACTTCTTTATGATATGTGCATCTATTTCAACTACTTACAAAATGAAATTGATATTTTATCAATAAAATTCATAAGTCAGACCATAAATTTTTATCAACATTTTATGCCAATTCTTTCTGAGATACATGACTGAATGTGTATGAGTCAAAAAAATTCTTCTGGGAACTTCAAATGAATATTCAACATCAGTCAATTAATGTTTCTTCGTGTAATTATCATATAAAAAAAAAAGTAACACTAATGATCATCATATTAGTACAAAGCAAAGCATTAATTGACTTCAATGTTATAATCAATGATAAGCACAACTTTTGATTTGATAAAAAATATAATCAGTTTCTATATTCATATAATAAAATCAATATTCAATCTTGCCATTAGGAAAATAACTATAACAATGAAAATGTAGTGAACATGAAAATAAAATAAAGTCATCAACTGAAAAACAAGAACAATATATATGTGTTGAAGCATTTAAATAATCTATTTTCAAGTATTACAAAGTCTTTATTTAGCTTAAATTGTGTCAATTTTCTGAATTTTTTTTGAATTGAGAAATTTTTCTAATGGATAATTTATTAAAAAAGATCATAGTTCTTTATTATGTTAACTTATCTCTTGTAAAACTACTTTCAATGAAATCTCTTAAGAAACAAACGTAGCATTTGACAGCTTTTCCCATAGATGATGGAAAACTATTAGAATAATCATTAATTTATTAAAACGATGATAACAGTCTATGGGGATTGGCCATTATATCTCATTATCTATAATCACTGAAAAGAATCAGACACCTTGTCACAGCAATTCTTAAACATGTAAATTTATGATTCTTGTTCCATACATAAACTTGGTCTATAATTTTTCTTGTTATGAATACATGACAATCTATATAATGTTTTTTAAAGTGGAAATATGTTTGTTTTTCAACACGTTGCACAAGATCAAATACTCTTCATTCATAATGTCATGATCTCAAACTTCTTCATCTTTTTCTGGAAAAAAATATAAAAATAATTGTATGTACCGAGTAGATGTGCTGACCTTAGTTAGATTTGCATTGAAATGAGAAGTGATCAGATTCCTATAACTTCTTTTACATAAACAATGTTTTGAATAATAGTGTTCGTATTAATTTAGTTAGATAAAATAAAATAGAAGTTATTCATTTTTAATTAGTTTAAAAAGAAAATTTTTTCTTTGAATGTTTTTTTAAACTTTGAAGGAATTTGCAAATTATATTCATAAATAATTCATTTTTCATTAGTATGTTCTTTCAGCAAAGAAGAGATATTCAATATAATATGTTTACGGATGTTTTTTAACCTTTAAATATAGGCATTAAGCAAATAATTCAGGATGTCATCTAACTATTCATAATATAAGAATTCTTTGCTCTACAAGAATATTCTATATTAATACTAAAAGAAACCCAAGGAGAGATAATAGTAGATTCGAATTTTTCTTGCTGAGTTTTGCTCCTGAACTTTCCAGGCACTAAAATTATGGTGACCATAGATGAGCTATAAACTGTCAAAAAAGGGTTCGTTTACATGCAATATTTTCGTTGTATTATATTCACCATATTTCTACCGTAGACAGCCAACGTAAATGGCTGTATACCATTGCTTGCCATTGTATTAATATGAACTTTTCTTACCAAAGAGAGAGATGACTCTCTATTATGCTCTTCTTTCGTAAAACGAACATATAAAATTTATTTATTTGAAACAATATTTAACCTTTTGCTTGTAATCAATCTAAATTTCAAAAAATTTATATATTTATTTAAACAGACGTTTGTCGTTGTATACTCGTTTTGGAATTAATTTAGATAAAAAGAAACAATTATTTTTAATTGACAATCATGAAACGTAAACCCCTCCCCATATTAGAAGCCCCCGGGGGCTTTTATTAGAACCTGCAAACTTTGGCCGGATTTTGCTGGGCAAAACTGAAAATTTTGCTGGAGAGACCTCTCCAAGGGGGGCTTCTAATAAGGGGGGGGGGCTTCTAATATGGGAGGGGCTTCTATTATGGGGAGGGGTTTAGTCTATTTTTAAATGACCCAGTTGAGTGCGTCAGATAGATTCCAATAGAAGTTATCAGTTGATAAGTACAAACCGCTTAAAAGTTTAAATGGGATTTCGTGTTGTCAAAAAATATTTTTAACAGAAAACAAATATATATGAATATTTTGATAAAAAAAAAGCGACTCCTACAGACATTAGGTCATGAAAGCTTAAAAGTGTTAAATAGAACTCAAGTGAATCTATTGACTTTCTACAGTTACACGGTAGCTAATTATAAAGTTTGGGCATTTTAATAGTAATGTTCATCAAGACTCGATTCACTTGATCCTAGACTAATGGAATAGAGATGTACATATAGGTACATCTAAATATAAACGTACATCAAGTAAAGCACCAGATCAATACAAAAGATAACTTGATATATAATAGTGATTCATTTTACAAAAACAATTCTTTTGTAATATAAAACTTGTTTTTTATGTTTATAAATAAAACAACCGATTTGGAATATGTGCTGCACTTGCCTAATAGACTTCATTATATATGTGGAATGCTATTGGATTTTCCACGGAAACTTCTCAGATTAGTTTATCGTTGCATTGATGTAACTAAGACATATTCGTTTTTGATTCTTTCATATTGTTCTTAAAATTTTATTTTAATCTAAAGTGATTATTGAATACAATGATGAAAAAATTGTTTTCATCATACCTAGAAGGGTTCCGCATAAAAAATTATGAGATCGAAAAAGATTAATGAATTAATTTGCATCTCTCTATTATTAATGAGACATATGAGAGTTTGTAATGAGACATTTTGGTTGGACGAGTATAGTTGTGTGGAAAAGTTCTTTATCCTCACCCATATACAACCGAATGTGAACAGATTGAAACAAAATAAATAGCAAATAAACGTGCGCCACTTTTGTAATTGATGATAGGCGATACAAGCATCTTTTCTATATTTGAGAGTGGGTAAGTGTGAATGAAGACAAGACACACACTTACACTGACACCCACCTTCAATAATAAATAGGATTGTGATAGTGCTCTAAATATAATACATTATTCAACATGTAAAAAACAAAGTGTATATTTTTCGAAGCTTTATTTAGATTAAATGATAAAATTGGTACTTCTTAATAATATGGATTGTCTTCGATTCTAGCATGATACTTCTTAAATGCTGCAATCAACTTGAAAAAGATTCCCAGAGAAACCGTTTCGTGGTGACTGTGAAACATTTTGTAAAGACTTTCAGGTGATTGTTCATAGAGTCGATACAGTTCAAGCAGACCTTCACCATTAATACCTCTAAGTAACGGTAGTAGACTTATTAAATCATGATCGATGAAAAATTGCATGACATGCTGATCGTTCCAATTATTGATTCGATTAATTTGACGATAGTTTTTCTTTGATAATTCAGTAATTGATGAGCGTAAAGATATTTGATTACGGGCTTCCCGTTCGTTGTCTTCATGTGCTACATCGAGATTTGTTTATAATCCATATTCGATAAAAAACATTCGACTAAAACTACACTTACCTTGCCAACCTCGTTCAACTACTGTTTTGCTTACGATATTATTGTCTGACCTGTTCTCTTCATTATCGTAATTGAGTGAATTATTCATCATATATGGTTAACAACAAATGTTCGAATAGAACGATGGCAAATCGATATGTTGTTTAAAATCTTGAACATTAGAAAGAACAAGATAACCGTATGTAAACTTTCTCATTAATAATATATAAAGTAGAACAAACTCTCATTGGTGTATTAAAAATCAGAGAATTT